ACAAGCTCGTGCCGTTGATACTATTCAGTGGCAACATGACAGACCCACTGCTATATTGGTTATGTCAAAAACGATGTTTGCATGCCGAATGAACTCGCCATCCCGATTTAATCATAGACAACACATCGCCTCGCTTGCATACCAAGTTAGGCCATCATGTTGTCTTGTCATGACATGACTTGTCATGTCATCTTGACTATCATATTTCCCATGTTGCCCGAATGTGCCGTTGCCTGCCGGGCCCGTGCTGCCCTCCGCTGCGGTCGCCGCCTGGCTATCACTGCCGCCTGATAACGTGCCGTGGGCGCCAGTGCCCTCGCAGCAGAAAGTGGTGAACAAGGAGCGGGCGTCTGGGGCGTACCGGCTGTCGGCCTTTTACCTGGCACGGCTGGCTGGCGAGCTGCCGCTGCTGCTGGCGCCACCTGCCCTCTACTTCGTCATCTCCTACCCCATGCTGGGCGCCAGTTCGCCGCTCACGTTCGGTCTTCTTCTTCTGCTCCTGCTGCTCAACAGTGTGGTGGCAGAGGTGAGACCGCCGCCCTCGCTCCAAAATGCTAGGTCGAGCAGCGACTGGTCTGAGCGCGTTATTGGTTACGGCGCGTGTGTTTCAGCGGGTGATCTGGATTCAGCGGGTGGTGGTGTATGCCCGGCGTTAGTTGGTGCAGTAGTTTGTCTGGATTATGCTGATACCAAACCGGACATATTAAACTAGGTCTATTAATACTGACGCCGACGTCTTTATAACATTCCGAGGCTGCTTTCGGGCCAGCAGCCCCGTGTCAGCAGCTAGGGGCGTAATTTCATGAAATGAGTTTGTGGGAGGGGTGGGGGGGGGGGAGGGGGAGGGGGGGAGGGGGGGGGAGGGGGAGGGGAAGGGGGAGGGGGAGGGGGGAAGGGGAGGGGGGGAAGGGGGGAGGGGGGGGGGGGCTGAACACTGGAAAATGTAGTCTTCCCCAAAATATGCCAACGAAGAGGTTTCTCCCTAGATTTAAGCCTACTTTCTTGCCAAAGTTGGGGGCTGGAGGCCAAGTTGAGTGGGAAGGGGGAGGGGCTGAATCCCCCAGCTCAATGCAAACTACGACAGACGCCTGCAATCCCTCGTTGGTTTTTACTTAACGCATGTATTGGGTTTCACCTGGTGTGTACCGACATTGCGATGGCCATGCGCAGCGAGGTAACAAGCAGCTGCACACCCCACGACGTCCCCTCCCCCCCCCAGACGGTTCCTGTCCCGGCTCAGACCCGCTCCCCCCTCTCTCTCTGGTCCCGCAGAGCGTGGGTTTATTTGTTGGCGTAGCCTGCATGGACCTCCAGGTGGGCAACACGGTGGGCGCCATCTTCACGTGCGGTGCCCAGCTGTTCAGCGGCTTCCTTTCCACGCACATCCCCGGCTGGCTCGGCTGGATGCGCTACCTGTCTGTGGTCTTCTACGCCTACCAGAACATGCATATCGTCGAGTTCGGCAGTGGCGCGCCGTTCAGTACGAGCGCCGTGCTAGCACTGCGCTTCTGTTGACGTGGTAAGCTTGCTGAACTTGCTTACGCGGCAAAGGCCGACAAGGATCTTGTTCTGCTCAGTGCTCTGCTCAGTGCGAGTGCACTCAAGTTTGTGCGTGACATCAAAGCCCATCAAGACATTAAATGTCGTCTCGGTTTGTTCATGTTCTTGACCAGCCCGCGCCCTGGTTGGTCTGCATATCGACGGCAGCAGGTCCTCTCATACTGTGAGACAGACGGGCCTGCCCACATGTACTACGCATGTGCGTAATACTGTACGTACATCCATAGCCTCCACGTTCCTAGTCAATTTTTCTGTTCCCTAGATGCGCGTCGGAGAACTCTAAGTTCCAGGCCTGCGCGACAGGCGGCGCTACCTTCATCCCAGTGGAGGACCTGCTGGCGCATCGCGGCGGCCACTTGCCATTCTGGGCTAACCTGCTTGCGCTAGTCGCTTTTATGGTTCTGTTCCGTGTGCTGGGATACGTGGGGCTGCGCTGCTTCCGTGTCCCGACACACTAGGGTCGACGGTGAGCATTGGCGCGCTCTGTCCGAGGGAGAGCGTCGATCTCACGGTCGGTCTTCCGCCGCCGCACCGCCCAGGTCGCTGGGGCGCCTGACAGCCTCGAGCATGGCTGCAGTCACGGCCGCGACATGGGCGCATACGGCACGTCATCCCGCAGCATAGCCCGTGCCCCCTGGCGGGTCAAGGACCTGGTCTCGGCAGGATAACGATGGGAGCGGGATTAGTGATGACGTAGACAGTGGCGACGTGAAGATTGCGGTAGGCAAAAAGTCAGAGCACGCCTGATTGTAGGGAGTGGTTCCCGACCCCGTTTCTTGCTTTGCACCCATTGCATGAGGCGCTTATGTTGTGTTAAGTCGTGGTTCCTGATAAGACTACGCTTCTGTATGCGACCAAGTGTTTGTATTCACCCCAACGCTGGTGTCCGAAGACTACTGGATATGTGCGTACAAGTACAGCCGTCTGTGTGCGAGAGCTTACGGCTTTAACGTTCCTGTTGTATGACACTTATTACTGTAAGACTTTGCATTAGGACGTTTTTGAGATACATGTGCGATTACGATCGTGCAAGTTGGCCAGATGATTTGAAATCTACTGGAGAGGGGCATGGGCCCATCTGAATTTGCATCGATGATTTGTTAAGTGTCGCGTAGCAATCAGATGCTATGTACCAAATGTCATCGACCGTCCTCAGTGTTACTCACTTTCAGAAAGATGTTCATGAACTCGTGCCTGCGCTTCCAAACATAGGCCACAAATACATATTTGCACAACTGTATCTCGGTTTTTTATTCACCTTTTCTGGGGAGGTCGGGCTGATGGCAAAAAAGTGGGAAGCATATGTGATAGTGGAGATACGATACCAGCAGCCCCGCCCCATGGCGAGGCCGTTACGGTCTTGAACCAACCTCGTCCATCGTCAACCGGCCCATCCATCACTCAAGCGCACAAAACATGTATCCAGATAAATTCGAAATATTATATTAGAACTAAATGGGAAATTATGTATTTTACGTCCCGGTTTGAGCAGTCTTTTTTTTCTTAAAGAGTGGGATAGGCTCTGGCGTAGTAATACCGTTTCAATTATAATGCGATTAATCCTAACTTAACCTTATCTCCCGTCCCAACCAAAGCACAAGTCGAGAGCATTGACACCAACGACAGATTACTTCTGCGGATCTGACTTTCAGACCTCGATGCGCCGACATTTAAACATCATTTAAGTTTTTTACATATATTTAGAGTCATATCCACTGCAAAGGTTCTTTAACTTTGTAGGGTCCAAGGTCATGCTAACCTAACGCTCTAAATGATGTTCGAAAACGAAGTTGGATGGATTGGGTCAAGTCAGGTGATGACAAGTAAGTTCCGGTCATATGACATGACGTCTAAATATTTATGTCAAGCATGACAATTAATGCCGCATGATAACGTGGTGCCAAGAACACAGGCAAAATGACTTCGATCTATCATGCCCTGACGTCCATGGCTTTCAGTCAGCTGCACCTTTGAAGCCCTTCTAACACCAACTTATGTTGCAACGCAAGAGAAGGGCCGCAAACCACATCTGTATCCAAAGAACATGAGCAAGAAATATAGACGTTGACTGAGATAAAATTATGTTCCCGATTACGCCATGAATTTTGGAAGTCAGAATGCTTGCAGATACATGAAGCACACCAAAGCAATAGGTAAGGCGAACTTCATTATTTTAACACATATCTCATAATGTAGGTATTGACTTCATGTGAGCGAAGACAAACAAAGCGAACAAATAACACACATTTTAACCAGATGGCGGTGTTAACCTCCCGCAACTGTAAAACCACAGGTCCTGCGTTTGCTCTGTCACGCGCTGTTCCACTTTCTATGCTTACCTCTTAAAAAGGCAAAATAGAGACCAATGTCACTTATCGAAATTTTGCGCAGGGAGCCCAAGATATGGATGGACCAGTTTAGGGCCTCAAGCCCTTTAATACGCCCATTCATGATCCAAGATTTCTTTGGGGTCAAGGGGTTTCCAGTGGCCCTTACAAAATGGAAGGTGCCAGCCCCGAGGAACAAATGGAAGTTGAAAACGTGGGGCGGACCATTAGCTTTCAGTCTATGCTTGCCCTCAACGAGCTAAGACAGCAAAATCTGCTTTGCGACGCCATAATTCGGTTAGAAGATGGCAGCGCTTTCTCAATACATTCGTGCCATCATGTCGGCATGTAGTCCGTGATTTCAGGTAAGTCAACCCTAGCTGAAACCTATGCCACATGAGATAAAACAACGCTTAACACATTTCTGTAATCCTCCATCTAATCCCATCCATTGCTACTAGTGTAACGTTATTGCATATGCATGGAAAGCATCGTCATCACCAAAACCGGCATGGCAACCATTGTCAGTAGGCATCAGTAGCCCAGCGCTGCTGTTCGTACTGTCTGGTATCAGCAGCGCATTATTCGATGATACTCCATGTAAATCTATTTTCACTTTATGTTGCATGCATGCATCACCTAAAAAAATACAGTGCACTGTGCCTAAGCATTTCCTCCCTTTAAGTAGATCCGAGTGTACTTAACAAGTGAAGCCTTCGCGACCACCTGCAAGCAAAGAGAAATTGCATTATTTATTTATTGCATTTATATATTGCATTATAAGCAAATTGGGGCGAGCGTTCTTCACTGAGGTGATGTTCAGATGCAAGGCACTATGCACCTGCATAGGCATGAAAGCTTGACTGGACATCGGGTCAGGATAAAGTGATGGAATTGGCTAAACATTCACATGACCATTTGTTCTTTGTCCTTTGCTCTACCAACTCACTCGAAATGACATCCACTGCAGACCCCGGCGGAGCAAACAACATGTATGAAACGCTTTCGTCTTGGAGTGATATTTTAAACTTAATTGACAAGCCGCAGTGTAGTGAGCGGTGCGTCCTGTAACTTCACAATCATGTTTCAGGGCTCTTCATTTCACACCCTCCCTCCATCAAAACGAACGAACCGATGTCCTCATTCGAGATGTTTCGTCTGAGGCCATGCGGCTCGTTATCGAATACGCCTACACACGAAACACTTTGGTCGACTCCGAGAATGTGGAAATGTTGCTGCGAACTGCCGACTACTTCAACATCGAAGGCATGCTGAAGGACACCTGTAACTTCCTAATGATGGAAGTAGGACCCAGGAACTGCTTCGGAATACGGAAGTTTGCAAGGTATAGATTGAGTCCTCACATCCTTCATGGGACAAAGCGGACCGGATGCCCCGCACTGAACGCCATTTTTGAGACGCTGCAAGACACGGATGGAATAATTGTTCAGACCATCGTCCTCGTCTGCTGTGCCAGAATGTATACAACGTTCCGACAAGTTAACTCTCGGGTGCGCCAGGTGTAATATAGTGCTAAAAGGAACCGGATTATGTTTGGCCTTCAGCCATGTACGTGTCACGTCCCGAATTTTCTCTTTGAAATTGCCGGTATTCGAACCAAGGTTTTCTGATTGTGAGATCAGTGATCCATTGACAGAGCCAACGGAGACAGCCGGGAAGGGCATCCCGCTTGGAACTGACTGCGAAGGGACTGGACTAATGATCATAAGACTCTGGTTCAAATCCCACCAATTCCATGAACATAATTCTGGCTGTGCCGCGTACATGGCTGAAAGTTGAACATAATCCAGTATATCTCAGGACTCCATGACAACTGACGACGCCCGGAGAGTCAATTGGTCGAAACGTGTACATACTAACACATCGGATGGGCGATAGTTTGAAGCACTTGTCTCATCCATGATGCTAATAACTTTCCACAATCCCTCTGTAAACCTATACAGAAAGACGGTGAGCGACGCCTGGGACGTCACTTTACATACTTTCGGGGTGGGGGTGGGGGGGGTGGGGGAAGGGGGAAAGGGCCGAGCTCCCCAATGCTTCATACCCCCACGCTCCTCTGAGCTTCATCAATGCATATGAGCAAAAAGGGAATAATGGGCCAAATAAATACAGAGTAATGACCTGTAACTATGGGCATGCCAGGTAGTATGTACATAAGCACATCACTCTTAGTATTATGTTCATTTCGTGCCAAATAGTAGCCTACAGATACCAAATGATGTCACGCTTACTTCTTCATTTCTTAAAGCACCCTACAAACGTTTGGCAAGTTTTTCAAATGATAATGCCTGTGTTTTCAAATGATAATGGTGTAAAGAACAATTGACTGCAATATACGGGAGCATTTAAAAGTACGGGGTGACCCAAATACAACTAAACACGTATTTTCCCCTTCAGTGCCAAATGCACTGGTTGCGTGTTGCATGACTGTGGTGGTTGTATAGCACGATCAGCGGCAGCAGTAATCATCAATGATCCCTTACTTCGACACACTCAGCGTCTTATTTCCTAGGACTCACACCATTTCAAACTTTTCACAAAAGGGCAGTTGACATTACAGGAAATGTTCCACATTTAAAGACGTTGAAGCAAGTATCAGACACGCTGAAATAAGCTCGCTTATAATTATTGTTACACTTTTAGGTTAAAAGACTGCTCTAGACCGCACACCTTCTCTGTTGAGTCAATATGTTCCTCAATGCGACATTGATTGCGTGGTCGTACCCTGCACAACATTGATTGACAGTCAATTGACGGCCGTTATATCCCGAAATCGTGTTAATAAAAGCCAGATACAAACGACTCGACAAATATGATTTTACTGCTCTTAATTACCACATGACTAATGGAATGGCAGGATTTGAATGACGTTATTACGGCGTCATGGGTGCGGAGTGACCTTGAAATATTCTCCCAGGTAGTCCTGCAAACATCTGCACGGGCGTGCAACTCAGAGACAGTATAGTACACAACATTTAATGATATCCACGAGCACACAAGACGCTAATGGCAGTTCGGTGGCCCTTTCTATGTCGAGCCAAGCTTCATAACTTGCGATGACACTGTTGGCACTATGTCGGTCCTTTCTCGTGTTATGCACTGAATGGTGTTTAGACCGTGATTTTGTGTAAATTTGTGTGTGTTTGAGTGTTTTATGTTTTGTGCCGTTTTATGGTCTGGGAAGTTGTGTTGATCCTACTTAACGTTTCCAAGCATTGAGGTTGATATGACCAGAAGCGTCACCTGCTGAGCTCAACATAGTAATCCGAACACCGTTGAATTCAGTAGGCACCACAGCACCCTCTGATGTTTAACAGACGTACCTGGCTGTGACTATAATTTAATTTGAGGCCAGATGGTGCTGGGTGGGGTGGGTGGGGGAGGGCATTCCACCATTCCGCCATCAAAGACGAGGTTATTTAGCACCGCGAATATTCATTGAATGATAAGTGAATGAAAACTCTGAGTTCACTTCAACCTGTTTCAGCTTCTACAACTGCGCAGAACTGGAAAACGAAATTCATAATTACATCATGCGATACTTTGTTGACATTGCTCACGCCAATGATAACGAAGAGTTGTTAAATCTACCTCCGGATGAAATGTGTGCTATTCTTGGTGCTGACAATCTAAACGTCAAAAATGAAGAAGTGGTGTGGGAAACAATGCTCAACTGGATAGAAAGAGAGCCCAAAAACAGGAAGCAACACATTCACGAGCTGATGAAACAAATACGGCTCGGGCTTCTAGAAACTTCATACTTCGTTGAAAAGGTATGGTCTGCCGTTAGTAACAGATCCGCACACAGGAACAGGTATTTGACAGCGTGTTCACGGGTCTGTAACCATGAATAGGGCGTGTTCTATCTGCTCCTCGAAGACTCTTAATCTTATCTGCGATGAGAGGTGAGACAAATTAAATATCCCAAGTTTGGGGGGGAAAACGACGGAGAAAGAGGACATGAGGGGGAGGGAAGAAAGGGAATGAAAAACGGGAATGATAAGCAAGGAGAAATGGAGGGAGAAAAAGATCGATGGTAAGAGAAAGAGAGAGAGAGAGAGAGAGGAGAGAGAGAGAGAGAGAGAGAGAGAGAGAGAGAGAGAGAGAGAGAGAGAGAGAGAGAGAGAGAGAGGAGAGAGAGAGAGAGAGAGAGAGAGAGAGAGAGAGAGAGAGAGAGAGGAGAAGAGAGAGAGAGAGAGAGGAGAGAGAGAGAGAGAGAGAGAGAGAGAGAGAGAGAGAGAGAAGAGAGAGAGGAGAGAGAGAGAGAGAGAGAGAGAGAGAGAGAGAGAGAGAGAAGAGAGAGAGAGAAGAGAAGAGAGAGAAGAGAGAGAGAGAGAGAGAGAGAGAAGAGAGAGAGAGAGAGAGAGAGAGAGAAGAGAGAGAGAGAGAGAGAGAGAGAGAGAGAGAAGAGAGAGGGAGAGAGAGGAGAAAAAGAGAGAGTGAGGAGGAGGGAGAGAGAGAGAGGGGAGAGAGAGAGACGGGGTAGAAAGATCAAGAAAGATAGAGCGAAGGAGGCTAGGAGAAAAAGGTTGTGAAAAGGAAGAGCGTAGGAGGCTAGGTGAGAAAGATCATGGAAAGACAGAGAGGGAATGTGGAGAGAGCGAAATGGTAGAGAAAGCAGAGACGTCAGATGTCATAGTGTTGTGTATATTGAATGGAAAGTTAATCTCTTCATGGCATAAAATGGCAAAGCCAAATTCTAAGGGCCCCAGTAAGCCCAGGCTCATCGCATCCTTCAGGTATGTCCAATCATGCCAGACTGACGCCAGGCAACGTGCCTGTGAAGCCATACTCCACTTCCTTTGAAAGGTGAAGAACCATCCGTACGTGATCGAGAATGAAGACTGCCGGCCTCTGATAATCGAGACGCTCAAGTTCATCTACGACCTGGAGATGATCACGCAGCGGGACGGCGAGGTCACCACGCCAGAGCTGGCACGGCCGCGCGTGCCCCACGAGATCCTGTTCGCCATCGGCGGCTGGAGCGGCGGCAGCCCGACCAACTTCATCGAGACGTACGACACCAGGGCCGATCGCTGGGTCAAGGTGAGACTTGACCCCAGGCGCCCGCGCAGGTCGCAGCAGAAACACGACTGGGTCCGGATCGCTATCGCCTGGCTGGCCGAGAACAAAATTATGGTAAAGGCGTTTGGTAGTGTTCAATGGCTCGTTGTGCAGCGCGATAACACTAATGCAAACATCAATGATTGCCCTCGCTAAACGATTTGGGAGGATTAATATTGTCAGATATAACAAGACTCGCGCCAGATCTATTAAGATCCATTGATCGTCCTAGTTTTAGATGATAATGATGCGGTTCAGGCAACTTTTTAAGAAACGAGGTACTTGTAAGGTCAGTTTTGTTAACAAACAATTGTTGTCGGCCCGAGATTACATCAAAACATAGAGTACCACGCATTTTCACATGTGCGCATCGCTTACAATGCATGACAAGATTTCAAACACCTCAGTAAACCATGGTCGAAATATCAATAATTTACGTCACGTCACGTCATTACTTTGTGACAATCGTCCCAAGGAAGTGTTCATTTCGTTAGAAAATAGCCTGCTTCAGTTACAGAAGCATTCACGAGTCAGAAATGATTTCCCATATCTTCATAACAGCCTCAATGATCTGCTTTAGCCATGGTGAATGCCGATGATTACACAATGGTAGCCAAGTTCGTAGATGCCTCAATGTTCCCACGAAAAAAATATTGAGACGCATCTTTCTGATAACATTTGTTTTGTCGTAGATCACTCTGTTGACTGCGAACCAAATTACAGGTGCGGGAGGTGGACCCTGCCGGTCCCCGAGCATACCACGGCACTGCCGTCATCGGGTTTGACATCTACGTCATCGGTGGCTTTGACGGCATGGACTACTTCAACTCGTGTCGCTGCTTCAACGCCGTCACAAAGCAGTGGCGAGAAGTGGGGCCGATGAACGCTCGCAGGTAACCGAATTGATTTTGGTTGTATAATGGTGCTTTGGCACCATGCGTCGAGCTAAAACAAGAAAAGTTATAGAACGCAATGCCGTTGGATGCAAATTTACAGTGAGAGAATTTTGTGTCATCCAAAGACACGACTTTTTAAGCTCAGGTAAGTGTCTGGTTTCATGTTCAGAATTTCTCAAACGTGGTTTTTGGCATGATGACACTTAAATGGCGACCATGAATATTTCAGGCTGCGGCTTCAACATGGCCAACACAATGTGCTTTATTATCTAAGCTCCCCACTTTCGGCGGATCTGATCTTGATGTGAAATGACTTGCGCTGCATCATGTCGTGGCTGGTGTTGTGGTCTCACGACGTCGTGATAACAGCTGTTGTCCAACATTTTACAGATGCTACGTGAGCGTGGGCATCCTCGACAGCTTCATCTATGCCATGGGGGGATATGACGGCCACCACCGACAAAACACCGTGGAGCGCTACAACCCGCGCACCAACCAGTGGTCGATGGTGGTGCCAATGCATATGCAGCGCTCGGACGCTTGCGCCACGACTTTAAACGGTTTGTATCCCCTGATCAAGCGCCACCAGACCCCTGTCGGACCTCTCGTGTCCGGTATTCACCGGATATATGGAGCCGAGTGGCCAACGATACTGCGTTTTTTGTTGCTAGCTGTGTGCGATTTTACGCAAGGCTTAGTCTACATACACCTTTTTCTCACCTCAACATTCGTTCATCTCATTCCAATGTCGGTGCAAGATACAGCGTTGTCGACAACACGGCCCATAGAAGCATATTTTTATTTATAGTCACGTAATTATAAAACAGCGCCTAGAATTTGTAGTCCTGAAGAGCAAGCTTCTTGCTTTTTTTTACCAAGGATGTGTTTTCATTACGTACTAATTCGCTCTAACGCTCTGTTCCATCACAAAAGTTGTAATGCATGATATGTGGCAGCGTATTTGATCTTTACCCCGGAATATAACTCCAACGCAGATCTTGTTGGCTACCTGAAAGCACCACAGAATAAGCCCGATTTCCGTCAAACCAAATGTTTTTCCTCATTCGCTCGTAGCCAGGTAATGTTCTAGCGGGTTCTTTTCTCGTCGCGTTATAATATAAAGCGGCAGCGCTGTAACAGATCGACCCAGCTTTAGTCCGGTTCCCTGCCGAACTCTTCATTCCAGTCGGTCCAACAACGACCGCGCACCAGCTCTCGCACACGATGTCCCAGATTACCTCCGTCATCTTTTCCCTGTCTCCAGTGGTGGTACATACATGGCGACGCATATCTGCCTCAGACTCGTTCCTGGATGCATTTTGCCTGTTTGCAAAGGCGTACAATGCCAATATCGCCATATAAAATGCAACTAACACAGTCTTTGGTTAGGGAAGATCTACATCGCAGGCGGCTTCAACGGCCAGGAGTGTATGAACTCGAGTGAGATGTACGACCCAGACACTAACCAGTGGACCATGCTGGCTCCAATGCGGTGTCGGCGCTCGGGCGTGTCCTGCATCGGCTACCATAACCAGCTCTACGTGCTCGGTCAGTACGCGAGCACCAGCAGCGGCCCCACACAACAGTCTGCCCTTACGTTCAAAAATAAATGCTGGCACGTATGTGTCGTCAGCCTTTCTATTTCAAACAGCGCTTGTGTTAAAACTTGGAGGTAAAGCGCCAATTTTCGCCTATTCAGCCTCAGTTCAACACCTGCTTGGTGTCGACAGCTGTGAATATGAGGCAGCAAGCTGTCTACCCTTTTGCAATTAACCTTTCCGAATTTGCATTATTTGATCGTTCACAGGCTACCCGGAGGGACTTCTCCCCATATTTCTGGGGCTTTGAACTGATATAGTTATTTCTAAAAAAAAATTCCTTCAGTGCACAGTTATGCCCTTCGTAAGGCTTCAAATTCTATCGTTTGTGAGCCAGGCGTTGTGCAGACTATCATGGAACCAGACACCCCGACTTGTGCAGACTATTTTGTTTCGCTTGTTTGAAATCACTCAAAGATGAATGACGTCATTGAATTGCCACACGACTTTGCCTCTTCAATGGCCCCCATTGTGTTCAAGGTTAAGGAAAATATGATCGTTGGCTTATTTGTGTGTGGAGAAGGCAGGACGAAATGACGCATCACCGGACAGCTTGAAATGAAGACATGATGCATCACCGGCTTCCAACCAACTGAACGCGTTGAATTTAAGCTTTTAGCACGAACCGCGTTCGGTGATGCATAATGCAGTCATTTGGGCAGTTCTACTAGATGTGACGGAAAAGAGGCTGGGAATCGAACGATTAAAAGAAAATGTTCCGCATCACAAAATGTTAAAGTAAACATGAAACAGCGTGGAATATGCTCCCTTATAATTATTGGCATACTTTTAAGTGGAGAAAACTGCTCTAGAGAACACCTTCTTTTTTAGAAGCTGTACTTCTCAGCACGTCATTGTTTTATTGCGCCATGGAACATTTGCACGACGTTGACGTACTGCCAGGCTAGCCGTGTGGCATTGCCATCCATGCACTCACTTGCAGTGCCTCAAACTCACTGACAGATGACAGTGCGTTGCTGAAAGTGTCTGCTGAGCCAAATATTGTTATGTTCTTGCAATTTGGCCCTTACCCGTGGTGTTCTTGCGCATTTATCCGTGGCCTTAGGAAGCTTTCTTGTATTTACATGCTCTGTTATGACGCAATTTGCAGTTTTTTAGATAATAAGTCTTATTTTCGTAATGAGTGGCATCATACCCAGCTTCTGATTTTATATAAACCAAAACCCTAACAATCCATTGCGGATTTGGCTTCTACAGCTTGCTAAACGTTGGCGAGGATCCCATTGGCGTCCAATATTCTGAGGAATCTGTATAGTGCTATATTTGTGCCCACGGACGCCAGATGTAAATGGCTCGAGGATCATGTTCCTGATAGCTTTGGACGCTGCGTGGTCAGTGGCGTGACAGGAGTTGAATGACGTTGCTATGACATCCTGTGTAGAAGGGCAAGGCTGCGAGTTGGACCGCATGATCTTATAAATGATCATTTTAGTTCAAAGCCCTGTACGAATGTGAAGCACTCCCTTTAAGAAAAGCACCCCAACCGAGACTGCAAGTGCAAGTAAAAAAGCATGCCATCACGGGAAAATATACAAGAACACTACGATAAAGAGCCCAAAACATGTGCACACAACAAACGTAAGTTTAGTTCGCACGCATAAATAACCAGTCATCTTCCTGTGCGTTGAAGTAACACAAGTCACTCGACTCGTCCGCTATAGTGGTATTGCTGATGCGGCCAATCTGGCAGCAACTCTGACGTCATAAAACGCTTATCAAATGCCTACCATGCTTGCATACTTAGAGCTAATACCTGATTGTTGCAACTAACTGCTCTGGTAAATACCATGTAGTATTCATATTGGGCGGTCATGACATCGTTGCTCAGGGCCACCGGATGCTTTCGTAAGCGAGAAAGAGGGATGTACGGCCGCTATCAATTTTCTATTTCTTTGCAGTTAACTCCCATAGAGTCAATGCAAAATTTTCAGAATCTTGGAAGGGCCCAGCCGGCCCTTGCCATTTTCGCCACGGGGATCTTGCACCCGTGTTACAGCCACCCCCTGACCGACAGACCCAGCACTTTCTCGCAGTCTAAGACGTCGGTAAGGCTTTACAACATAAAGACGGACATCGAGCCGTCTAAATAGGACCCTAAGGCAAAAAATCCTCCAAATAAGGGCCTCTAAATCAACGGAGGAGCCACTTGACCGAAGAGTCCTTGCGAAATTTGGCTACAGTTCTGAATCGAGGTAATACGCAACAGACATGGTACAGCCAAGCGTCGGGGTGCAGGGGGGTCGTTCCTAGAAGAGGTTGAGAGTGCTGAGCACGGAGAACCCACCCCAAAATGCACAAAAAGACCACTTTCCCCGTGAAGTCGGGGTCTGGAGCCCCTCAACATAATAAGAAATTACACCGCTGGTGCAGTGGGGGGGGGGGGGGGGGATAAACGGGCACGTTGGAAGTTTGAGTAACCTTTGTTCAGTCATAACTCAGACGCGCTCAAAGTGTTGGGTGTTTGCTGCGTAGAAATCTGCAAAACCTCGCCTATCAGCTAGTACCTTGTGCTTATAGGGCACATGCTATAGGGCCTTAAAATTTTGGGCGTGAGAGACGCGTACCATGCGCAGAGCTGGGTATTGCACCGCGCAGCAGGTGCCGGACCAGCAGTGGCCAGGAATACTGCCAAGTTCCTCATGGTTTTCGCTGTAATGTCCACGTCCCGACTTTGCAGCTATCGGCTGATGGCTTACGACCAAAGCCCTGACCACTGGCTAACTTTTCCCTTGCCACCGGAAATATCGTCTTCGTGCCTGTATGCAACCCAACTGTTTTCAGGAGGGTTCAACGGGATATCCAGGATGTGCAGTGGAGAGAAGTATAACCCCGAGACGGAAACATGGACGCCAATTCCGGACATGTACAACCCGAGGTCAAACTTCGCCATTGAGGTTATTGATGACATGATCTTTGCCATCGGTGGATTCAATGGTGTCACGACCATCTACCACGTCGAGTGCTACGACGATCGAAACAGTGAATGGTGAGAAAACTATCAAAAGCTCACGCAGAGTTAAAAAAAAAAAACACTTCTTGATGGCAGACACACCAATGGCACGCAAGCACCACCCACCGTCGTGCGTAATGGAAGGTTCCCAAAGTGGAGTAAACCTGTTGTCAATCCAATTACTTTCAGTCAGCGATCATGCTATGGAAAACATTAAATTTCCCAACAGTTTGGTGCTCAGCTTCCCTTCCGCAGGTTACCGCGCCCATGTCCAGTGCCCACATTGAAGCACAGTACATCGTTATCGCGCCCCGGTTTATGGGGAACAGGCAAATGATCTACAATCTTTAACTAATCGCATCCAATCGTTCACTATGAGAAAATTTAGGCTGTTGAAAACATCTACGAATAGCGTCAGCCTGTTGTCGCTTAGTTTTTTATTTGCGGTCCCTCTAGCCCACTTCGTAGATCGTTGAACACTCTTGCCAATATATGGTAGGCATATGTTTTCGCTTTTCGCATTACCCCAACCAGCGAAGTGTTTAACCATTGTCAGCCAGTCGGCAGCTAGCTAAAAGAGCCAGGCTGAAACAAAATGGTGGTGTCATGACATCTGACGGCAAAAAAACACGAAATCCAAGGGCCAAAATCCTTTGACCAAATTGTCCTCCGATCTGGAAATGCGTTGCCGTGGTGGCAAGGTGTCAGATTTCCGCAACAAACCGTTCTTTCAAGGATCGATCTCAAAACCACACATGGAAAACAGAGGTTTACGTTTTAAAACTGCTATACGCCCATGGCTTTTGTGACATCTGATGAAACTTGCTGGAAGCATAACGACATTGGGCTCTATTTCAGGTACGAGGCGACTGACATGAATATATACCGGTCGGCGCTATCCGCCTGCGTTATCATCGGGCCACCCAATGTCGGCGACTATATCCACAAACACCGGGATAAGCTGATGGAGGAGAAAAGGCAAAAGCTGCTGGCTCTTCAGAATAACCAAAGGACGTGACGAAGAAGAAACCTTGTTAACGTGCAGCATAGGAGGACAAACTATGATTGCTGTTTGGATTTACAAGAAATTAATGGAACGGTTTTGGTACAAAAATCTTATTGGATTCTCGAGGAAGCGGGTCGTAAATTTCCGATTATCATCCGCTAATTAGTGCACAATAATCAGCAAGTATCATCAAGATCTTGCCTCGAAACCTAGCCACTGCATTTTTGGCAGCTACCGACCCGTGCACAGATAAACAGATTTTTTGTTTATATACACACAACGGCAAATCGGACCGACTTCTTATCACTTTTAGCCATGGGTAGGACTATAAGGAGGAGAGGAGAGGCATGGAAGATGAGCCCTCACAATTTCACGAAAACAATTTTCGTCACTCTGTGTGTGTGTGTGTGTGTGTGTGGTGTGTGGTGTGTGTGTGTGTGTTGTGTGTTGTGTGTGTTGTGTGTGTTGTGTTGTGTGTGTGTGTGTGTGCGTGCGTGGCGTGCGTGCGTGCGTGCGTTGCGTGCGTGCGTGCGTGCGTGCGTGTGCATGTGCGTGTGCGTGTGCGTGTGCGTGTGCGTGTGTGGGGGTGGGGGGGGGGGGGGGGGTTGCGCGCGCGCATGTGTGGGTGTGGGTGTGGGTGTGTGGATGTGGGTGGATGTCGGGAGGGGGGGGGGGGGGTCGTTCTTTGGGTCGGATTCGTGCTCTGTGCATCTGCCTGGCTGCCGCTATCACGCCTCCTCACAAGAGCGAATTTATAATGATGAGTCCATTGGTCAGCATACGAGCCAGATGACGTTGAGCGCACGACTCGACACGTAATGCCTCCGTTACACCCGACATCGACACGTGCACATGGAGCCACAGAGCTGGGATAAAGCAGATGACCCGGGTACTGGCGGGACTGTAGGTCCTGTCAGGCACCATGGACGGCTGTCTCCCCGTAAATGGTTGTGCGCTGTCAAATACGGCATCCCGTCTCCACTCTTAAGCTGGTGAGAAAATTTGAACGGGGCAAAATGGAACCAGTTACATTAAAAAAAATAGCCGTCCTGATTACCAGAGTATGCCCAAATTGGCAGCGATCCCACGCAACCAGTGAGGCCTTTCGTTCTTAACTAGTCTATACAAACTTCATGCATTTGGCGCCCCACCACACTCACTCAAAGCATACTCATCCGCTGGCGCCTACTTCACCTCACTCATTCTTGGCTCGTGCACGGGTAGGACCCCCCTACTCTTCCCTATCCCCTTTTCAGCGCCTTGGCATTATAATTGCCACGTCGACGCGAGGCCTCGTTTAGCTAAATTATATTCTGTTTTATGTGTGCCAGCCATCCAACGAAGCCACGCCTATCCCCTGTTTAACCTATATCAGGTCACTATTTGTTATCAGCCTGGCACCGACGTCGCTGCTGGGCTGGCCCCAGGTGCACCGAAGCTGGGCGACGACTCGTTCCCTCGCCTGCCCTCCAGGGTGACAGTTCTCTATTTGGACGATGCTCCCCCACGTCTCGTCCACGACGGAGCGGCCCGCCGCTTCTTCGGCCGCGCCCACCACTCGCAGCTCCCCGCTGCTGCGCACGCACCTTCAGTGGTACTTCTGCGCCCTCGCCTCCCGTCCGCAGGAGTGAGCTTTGCAAGACATCGTCCCACGGCGTTTCCCTCAGAGGCCTGCAGGTAGACAGTGCACCTGATAGGACGGTGGAGCCCCTCGGCAGACAGCGAGCGTCCGGCATAACCTGCGTTTATGCCTTGCGGTCTCTACGCCCGGCACACTTTGGAGACTCGGCCTGACCGGCCTGTCCCATGACTTAGTCCCTTGTCGTTCATCTTATGAACATTCGTGACATGATCTCGATCTGCGCCGAACATTCCCCACCAATGGCTTCGCGTACACCGCGTCAGAACAAAACGGCTATGTCCCGACCTCGCCCGAGGCGTAGTACACCAACGGATAGGCCGTAAGGTATAAACACCAATGGATACATTAATGGACAGTAATTAGTTTTACATGTAGGAATGGTTCAAGTAACAACTAGAATGTGACATCGTTTTATTGAGCAATTTTAGTCTTTTCATTGGCTCCGTCACCTCCGCTCTAGAAACTGCTATGCTACCTGAAATATGGACTTCCTGCGTAGGCTAATGCATTTAATCATCAGTACTCACGCGCTTCTGATGACAAGGAGTGTACTCTGGCTTTTCCATGAAAACTAAGTTATGACCTGAAACAGTTGTAATGTAGCCGTAGAAGTCTAAGAGCGTGAAAGGAATGACAATGGCTCCATATCCTGAAGTTTTAGGACTAGTCGCAAAGTTAGAACGATTGCTAACACGTGCCGTCGACTGAGGCATTTCCTTCACCCTGTTTTAGCTTCTTTGCACGCAGTAGAAATCTTGTCATGTGACACGATAGTAAGTGATAAACAACGTTGTTGCCAATATCCTTGTATTCTTCCGGAATTTCCCCAAAACTCCAGTGCTTTATCGATTTAGCATAAAGTAGTTATCAACTGAGCACTGGTGGAGCTCTTATCTCACTGTAAATCATCTGCAGCTCTTGCAATTTGTGCGATCCAAAAATAGGCTGCCCTTCAGGCTGAGCCAGTAGCCCGTGCCTTCTCGTTCGAATGTGAGGCAGCAACAGGGAAGGTCACACACGTCCAGTTGGTCGTAGCTTTGCTCAGATAATTGTTTATTTTGCCACGAAGTCACTAATAATTGCTCAGTCACCGGCGACCACCTGCCGTAGAGGTTACTTGTTCTTGATCGCAGTCCTAGATCATAGATCGCGAGTCATTTTTGAAACAAGCTGCTACATCCAATATTGGAATACCGCACCGTGTAAAGGATTGTGGCAGTCCTGCGTGTGTGACGCTCTGTCTATTACAACAATCGATCATTCGCACTGTCGCAGCCAAACCAAAAAGTTTCAAGCAAAATGCTTACTTGCTCAGGACTGTCGTGGTGAACATCCGCAAGACGCATCCTTTGCCATGTTTTAGGTGAACCACAAATGCAGAACAAATGCCTGCTGTGAAAAGCAACGTCAGTTGGAAGCACGGCGCAACGTGTTTGCCGACTAGAATGGCATAGGCAGAGCTCAGAGGGCGCGTGCCCTGACAACATGGGCCGCCAAGAGAGCAACGGCGGACGCCGCTGGCTTGACTCCGCTGGACGGCCTGTTCACCCAGCTGAAGCGGCCATAGCTGGTGCGCTTGTTGAGGTGGGAGACGGCATCACACCGGCCATCGTGCCGCACGAAAATCTCTGGAAACAGTGAATCGCTCTTACTCTAATTGGCTCAAAAATCCGTCCCAACCAAGTTGGAACGGATCAACCAGCTAGCCATCAGCTCAAGCTGGTGACGAGCTGGCCAAGTCATCCCTCCAGGCGGCAGTGAGAGGTGACGAACGATATATGCGATGTGAATGCAATGGAGGGAGCCGAAAACAAGAAGGTGCACGTACCCTCCAGTCCGACGCGGCGTCGTTCCATCGCCAGGCACTCGAGCTCCTGCATGTTCATGTATGTGTTGCCATCGGTGGCACACACCGGCTTCTCCGTGTTAGGAAAAGAACACGGCTTCTGTGCTGCGCTGCACACCGACACCAGCGCCCCTGGCGGCAAAATCGGTGGCACAAGCTGATCAACACGCGTATGCACACACACGTGAGCGTAGACTCTCAGCCACAACCACTGCGTACAAAGTGGAGGACACCTGCGCGGTTTTTGAAATAACCCGCTCGCCTGACACCATAAGCTGTATCATGATTTTGTGGCAACCATATGATGTCCTATGGTACAGACATGCGTACGCGTACCACACGCGTACAGATCAAATCCAAGCAGACCGTTCTTTTAGGTGGGCCACGTCATGGTATAGCATACTAAGAATGACGATAAAGCCCATAGTACACCAATGTAACGTGCTGGAAAAATACAGCATTAAGGAGGGATACAGGTGTAACCAACTAATCGGGAGAGGGCACAGCCTTTACTACCGGCGAATGGTGTATGAGCTCCGCAGAGATGGGGTACGTTTCAAAACAATTTCCATCCCTTGGGCTGCGACATAGTGTATCAATCTGTTCGTTATGCACATGTACGCTACAGCATTCACGAGGACATGACTGAACATTCGTTACAAAATGAGCGACAGGTACTTACCAAAGACAAATAAATGTATCATCTGTCCTTTTCGACCGAACTGGTATGGAGGCCCAAAAAACAATCAGCGATTCAATTCTTGCCTTTACGATTATCTTCTATGAAGCTTTCAGAACGTGCTCTGGCGGAAGGCCATTCAATTGAAAAAGCCATGCAAATGGTATGAGCAGCTGTATGGGCTTTGTGGTAGCTGTTGTCCGCCACGCTAGCCACTCCGCATCCATCTGTGGTCCGGTTTCAAAATCAACGCAGCGCGTGTGCCATTTTACATAGATCTTTCGCTACAAATTTGTTCCGCATGCTATTTCGTGAAGACATGCATACAAATACATACAGAACGGCATGCATGCAAATTTGTGACAGGGTAAATGCACTCGTGATGATCAAACAAATATGTGTGGAGGAGATGCTTGCCTATGCATACTTGTAATACACACGACTTGTATACAATGAAAAGCTTGCGAAACGGCCGCCGAGACATCGACAACTTGATGTTTTAATTTATCTGCACATTCGCCCCAACTGAGCCAGTCCCAAGTTTTCGCACCATGCAGCTTTTTCCTCCCATCATATGTTTTCAGGGTATAACGGTTTTTCCTACCACTGATTCTCTGAAGTGGCGGCAACGTATCACCTCCAATTTCTAATGACTGACCTCACAGACAGCATCCATTTCTAAAATAATAAAAAATGTTTGCAACTTTCTTTAACACAATGTACTGGTTCATACACAGTTTGCGGAACATTATGAAATGTTTAAAATTTTGCTTAGAACGTCTTTCACCACCTTCACGAATTTCAAAAGATACCTCTTCTAAAAACGGTTAGCTTTTGTTTTTGTTTGCCCTTGGTCTTGCCAACATTCACAACGGGCGTTTGCTTTAAACCTAAAAAAGTTAAAAGTGGCAAAAATTGAGACAAAGATTCAGAAAAGATTGATATGTAGACTGAGATTAGACATTGGCATAACTGAAACAAATGCACCACATGGATATAATTTTGAACTTCAAATGATCTGTTGTCTAGTCTTCCAGCCAACATTTATTAACTAGTCTTCCAGCCAACAGCAGGCCAAACGGCACTTAGCACGCGCGCGGGGAGGTGCAGGATCCAGTATGCGCGGCACTTTGGTTTCATGGATCTGATGGGCTGGCAAATATGGGTGACCAACTTATGGTTTGATGGGCCATCAAACCTCCACTGCACACCTCTTGCCTCATGATACTCCACATATCCTCAATCGGACGCCCTTGCGACGAGTTAGAGGAATTCTTAACCTTCTTGATACACGTAATCCTTTCTTTCTCAGAAACTTTCCATGGGGCTTGAACTCTATATAGTTTGGGGTATCATCACCGGAGCGAGCATAAAATCCAGTACTATAGGGCATATGAACTCTGCCATAGGTTCAATATGGTTTTTTGTCTATGACATTTGTCGCGCCTGCGGCAGAAAACGCACTTCCGGAGAGACGGCAAATCCAAGTTTTCTGAGATTTCTCTCGGTTCTTAGTTCGCTCTTGAACCTGCTGCTCTTTTTGCCTCCGTTGAACTATTATAACTATATCCTCCAGGAGTATTTCGCGGATGAGTGATTGACTGCATCCAATCCTTCTTACAAGTTTGTCGCTTACAACTTTCACAGCTTGTCTTCATGCACCCCGTCATTTTAAGATTCTTCTTCCCTTTTCCACTTTATTTCATGCCTTGTCCCTCATCAACACGCTGCCTCCACTGTACACAGTGTCCAAGCGACCCAGATGGCCAAAAGGTGGTTTCTCGCAGTTGACTGGCTCGGCGTCTTGGTTTTTACATCACCTTAGCGGTCAGCTTACGCCCTTGCTGTTTTGGTCAGCGTCGCCATCTTGGGACTGGCATTCACATTATTCACGGGTTCTTCTGTTGTTTATTTCACACTTCATATCCATCTAGCCCTAAAAATTTGCAGCAAAATAACTTTCATCACAATACATGAAACCTCAAAATATGTCAGATTTCAAACAGCACCCAACAGAGGCCTGTGACCTTGGCGTCGATCAGAAGTGGCTCCATCGACAAGTGATGGCAATGTGCGTCTCAGTGTGATAACTCGCGGTCCAGCCACTCAATGGACCCGTTCCATGTCACATGTTCCGTAACGGTATGGACACCCAGGCGGGCAGCCGTAAATGGTGATCGGCTCTATCTATGAAACGTAAACCAACGTATACTGTGTGGTAATGCGTGTGAAAAGTCAACTTCAAAAGTCATCGGGCTCTCCAGCGCTTTGGAGCGCTCCTGCACGCGAAGCTGGCTTCTAAGGTCAACTTTGATTTCCTTGTCTAACCTTAGCAAGTCCGCATGTTTTTGCATCGTTTTGAGTGATCGCCAAGTGACTTACGGAGGTGATTTTATCAACAAGGTCAAACGGCTGGACGTGACGGTTTGCGGTAGCGTTTACTTGTGCCTGGCCAGTCAGACCCTGTTAAGCTTGTAAGTCTGGCGTCAATCAGAGGTACCGCCGACGTGATCTCTAGGACGAACGTTAGGCAAACTTGAAATATGACTTCTGTAGGCCGGATGATGGACACGTTGGTTTGTGACGTCAATTTTTGTTTTGTCAACGTTTCAAAGCTTCATAAATCTTGTAGGCATAGTCTGCCTCTGTGTCGACGCCTCTGTGATCCCAAGAAAATGAATTTGTCTCCTGGCTGGGGGAGGTCTGGACGGCTGCGTACCGTGGACTGTTCAAATTCATTTGGATTGAATTGCTCGAATTGCCAAAAATTCAAACACGTCCGGGTTTGGCGCGGAGACTTCCGGTGAGTCCCAAGAGTCCCCAAACTACTGGCGAGTCCCAGGAGTCCCAAACTACCGGTGAGCCCCAGGAGTCCCAAACTACCGGGAGTCTCAGGAGTCCCAAACTACCGGTGAGTTCCAGGAAGCGTCCTTGCGTCTGGAGCTCTCCCATCAATGCGTTTCTCCCTCGTTTATTGGCCGTTTACACAATGGTGTACACGAATTGGAAGCACGCATTGCTGTACACGTGCAACAAAAACTCTAATGCGAAAGTGGTTTTGGTTGCACCGCTTAGATCCGCCCCGTGATGTAGGGTGCTGACTTACGGCAAACGTTACCTGGAGCCGCGGCGGATGACATCGCTCTTCCTCGCCCTGTTTGTGTCGTAAACGTCTGTAGCAGTGCTTACATACCACGTGTTCAGCTTCAGTGGCACCATGCAGTCCAATCTCATTTGTCATATATTGGCTCCCTTATTGAATACACACACAGGGTGATCGGTTGTCATGGACGACCGTCGGCCAGCTATCGGACGACGGAGGAGTGGCCCTCAGGCCCGCAGCTGTCGTCTCCGAACACGCAGCCCTGGCACCTGCGGGCACACACGATGGGTCACACACGCGCCAGTGCGTGCGAGGCGATATCTCAAGCTACGTTCATGGTCCCGTGTGTGGCAGTGAACGCGGCTTGAACCGGTGTGTCGCGGCAATACAGTCAATGCTTTCTTGGTGACAGCGTTTTATCAGTACCTCATATTGAAGTTCGAGAATTCCACACTCATAGTGAACTACGAGGACGGGGACGTCGCCTGACGCCGTCTGACAAATCAAACGTGCCGACCTACCTAAAACTCACGTGTGACATGCGAGGCCACCGCCCCGCCGCGTCATTTTTGTTCCATCAAGTATGGTGTAGAATAGGGAGGGGAACGTGCCCCCCCCCCACTATGCTGTTGAGGAAGTTCAAACACCACCGCAGCCGGCGACAGTCGTGGCATGTTGTGGAAAAACAGTCTTGTCGAAACTGTCTCTTCCGGGGAACTGGTCTTTAGTTTAATACAGTGCTAGTTCGAGAAAATTTCAGTACCCCTAACGGCTTTAGCGACTTTTTGCAATGCTAAGCTTGGTTTTCCCCAAGAAAAGTGAACGACGTATGCCATTTTGACATCTCCGATATCAACTACCATTCGACACTTAAAGTGACCTTCGATACTGCACACGACATTTGTCAGTGCCATGAACTAATCACCACTTAACTATTGCTATCTCACGGCCGGTGAACTCTGCACGGGTCCACCAAAATTTATCCAGATACCACACCAGTCATTCGAACTTGTTTCCCTGATCCCACGAACCATCAACCACATAAGCTTGACAAAGGCGAAACAACGCGCGAGCCCCTACACGTCACACCTTGCAGGGCATGGGAACTCACATCACTTCAACATATGCAGTCTTGGCCATCTCCTGCAGCACCTTGTCCTTGTCTGGATAGTCAGTCTGGAAGATGTGGCGGTCTAGCACCTCCACCACTGAGGGGGCGCGGGCGATGGGCGGCGACTGCGCGGCTGCCGGCGCCGGCCATACCGAGACCTGGACACAGGCGGATACAGTGAGACCTGGACACAGGTGGATACAGTGGGACCTGGATACATGAGATCAGGACACAGACGGATACGGTGAGGTCTGGACACAGACGGATACGGTAAGACCTGACACAGGCGGACACAGTGAGACCTGGATACAGGGAGATCTGGACAGACGGATACAGTGAGACCTGAACACAATAAGATCTGGACACAGGCGATGCAGTGAGACTTAGATACAGGCGGATGCATTGAGATCTGGATACAGGGGGATCTGGGCCCAGGCTGATGCCGGGATACCTTAACACAGGTAGGTGCTGCCAGACTTGGACACAGGCAGATACAGGCATACCTGGACGCAGGAGGATGCTGTCAGACTTGGACACAGGCGGATACCGGTATGCATGGACACAGGATACGTCAGACCTGAACACAGCAGGATACCGGCGTACCTGGACACAGGAGGATACGACCAGACTTGGACACATAGTCATAGCCCATTACAGACAGGCTTGGTAGAAGACGTTTTCAGTCATACCTGAATGCAAGCGGATAGGCCATTCCTGAATACCAGGGGATAGACTATCCCTGAGTGAAAGGGAATAGGCCTTTCTTTGATGTAAGGGACTATAGGGGAAGGGGCTTCCCCTAAGTCATGCCTAGGACTACAGGATAAGGAACAAGGTCATGGGCTGATGCCGTTAGGTCTCGGTGCAAGCGGGTGCAGTCGGACCAGGACACAGATGAATAACGGACGGACGGAATCGCAGCCAGACACAAGTGGATGCAGTCATACCTGTTTGGTATAAGTAGCTTTCGACATGCTTGTCTTACCATTTATTAATGAAAAGCCTCTGGTGAGAGGGACGGGGGAGGGTGGCAGGTAACTTTGATATATGTGTCACGGACTCTGAAGTAGCTAAGCCTCTGATCCGAAGAAAAAGGATCAACGATTATGGTCAGACCTTTTCCCCTACGACGAAACATACCATTCTGGTATTCGTCACACTGCAAGGCCTTGTCCAGTGGCATTAAATGGTTAAAAAATGGTTGTGTTTTTGTGACGCCCTTAACCGTTTTTAGGCGCTAAATATATTCAGCCGTCAGCAAAAGGTCACCCTCAATATGCAAGGTTTCTGTCAAAAGGAATTCACATTGCGTGGACATCTTCTAGAGCTCTTTGTAGACCTCTTGTTACAAGAACAGAATCGGTGGGGTGGGGTGGGGTGTGACTCCGGGCCGCTAAAGTAGAGCCAGATGCTTACCAGGGTCACCACCAGGGCCAGACCGACCAGGACTAGGCGCGCGCTGCTGCCAGCCATGCTGAGCCTGCCGAGGTCGGACGTGTTGTGCCGCTTCGCCGGACCACCGATGGCCCTTCATTACGCCTGATGAGCGATGATTACCGGCGCCATCTGTCGGACTGCACGCGCGTCCCCCCCGGCCGGCCGCCGGTCGCACCTGTGGACCTCTAACGAGGCGGCAGGCCGTGCAGCTGGGGTAATGAGTAGGCCGGTCTGTCGTTTGACCGCTCCGCGGCGCGTGTCCAGGACAGTAACAGGGACGAGGCGTGGGGACTCATCGAAGACGGAGCGAGGGCTCTGACTGAGAATGGAGCGAGGCCTGACTGAGGACGGAGCGAGGGCTAAGGGCGGAGCGAGGCCTGACTGAGGCTGAGGACGGAGCGATAGCTGGCTGAGCACGGAGCGAGGCCTAATTGAGGGCGGAGCGAGGACTAACTGAGGACAGAGCGATAACTGACTGAGGGCGGAGCGAGGACTGACCGAGGACGAAGCGAGACTGCCTCATCACAACACCGAGCCGAATCGTGCTTACTCGTGGGGAACATTACGAGCCGGTACCTGTCGGAGACATGCGACTTTTTTCTGGGATTTCACCTATGTCATGTCACAGTTACGAGAAGCAAAAAGCTGACACATCGATTAGTCGTTACCATGTATTCAGTAAATCGCGCCTGATAATCCAACACCAGCTTCACTTCTGTGAGCGAACATAGAACACACCACCGCACATATTATAAACCCAATGCCTTTTGATCAACGTATGGAGAGAATGACACCATTAGCGGCTCCTTGGCACATTGAACATCTACATTCCTGCAACATCCCGGCATTGCACCGTACACGACTAACGGGGTTAGCAAAGCAAAAACCCAACCTCCGACTGTATGGAAGGGATCAGACAATCCCCACCAACACCCATCAAATGAGCCGGTAACAGAAGTACATGACTTAGATAACCATGGGTTAGTACCAGTTTGCTAAACAGACTACGGACCCGGCACTCCCAAGGTCGCTCAGTCCCGCACCACCACCGGTGGCGATAGTGGGTACATAAGATTAGTGCACATAATCAGCGCCGACTCTGGAGACGAGGACGCGCTGTGTCTTACACGCACACGCCAACAAACAGTGCGAAAGTAGAGTCACATCAGGATGTCGTTCGCCTAGCCAAAGTCGGCCAAGACATCGTGCGGCTGTGAAGAAGATATGACTGTGTACATTCTAAGTTCACAACGCAACAGGTAGGGTTACTCTGAAACCGACAACGAAACGTGGCTTAGTCACTGGACATGGGCCATCCGGATCCGATCAACGGACTCATACCGAACCTTGCCATGATGCCGCACTATCGACACCTTGCCTGTCATCAAACCACCCCACAGATTCCAAATCCTTTTCAGCTTTCTACCTTCCCTCCCCTTTCTATCTATCAAGCCTGGCACACCCACCTCACACCGTCGATATCGATCTGCGGCCAGACAAATGGACCGAGCCGTTGACGCACGTGCGCCAATACTCGCAAACACCTCCCGCCTGCCAGGGCACAGCACTCTACGCACGTGCAAAAATACTCTCAAAACCGTCTCCGAGACTGGAATATACGTCGTGCCGGCCGCCACCTCAACACTTTCCTTCATCAGCCCTGGACAATAGAGCGAGACGGCGCAGTGACGTCGCGCCCAGCACACACTCGGCCCGTCATCGACATGTTGGCAGCGCGCGGGTATTCCTCCATCCTACACCCTCTTCAGCTTGACATCCACGCGGTGGTAGGCGTTGCTGAGCACGCCGCGCAGGTTCCAGATGTTCTTCACCGACTCGGGCTGGGTGTTGTAGCTGGCGTCGGTGGCCTTGACCCAGAGCTGAGCGGTCTGGGCGCCGGCCGGCACGGGCCACGCGGCCCGACCACAGGCACCAGGACCAGCAGCGGCCGGCCGGCGCCGTCGGCTCCGTGGCCGTCAGGCACGCCTCGTGCCAGGTGGCGCCGCCGTCGGCCGACACGTCCACGCGCACCACGCGCCGACCGCCGCCGCTCCACGCGTACCCTGCAGACACGCGCCGCAGCACGGTAGGACGGGCGCATGGCTCCGCATATCCACCAACGAACGTAACAACCTAGAAGCCTGTCTTCATGAATAAATAATGAGGATTTTCGTCCACTACATGGACTAACCTGGCTACGCTGTCTTACACGAGTAAGCAAAATACTTATAACATGCATTTAACGTGGCAACAGACATGGCAACCGCCTGACGGTTGCACAACAACCCCAGTGAACTATTCACCTTTGACCCCCAGCGTCCACGGCGACAGACACGGCGATCTGCTGACCTTTGAGCGCGACGGTGCCGTCCTTGACCTTGACGGTGTCGCCGCTGGCCGGCCAGCAGATGGCCGAGTTCACGGGCAGCTCCTGGATGGCCGGCGCCTTGCTGAAGTCGACCGTGTCCCAGTCGACCGACGGGTTGAAGCCCTTGTAGTCGCTGCGCTGCCAGTGCGAGGTGGACTCCTCGGCGGAGACGGAGATGCGGCCTGTCGGGGGAGCCGCCGCCCGGTCAGCGCAGCCGCCGCCGGCAGTCGGGACGCCAGGCCACCATCGGCAGTCAGGGAGCCGCCGCCCGGCCGGCACAGCCGCCACCGGCAGTCGGGGAGGCAGGCCAACACCGGCAGTCAGGGAGCCGCCACCCGGTCGGCACAGCCGCCACCGGCAGTCGGGGAGGCAGGCCGATCCCAGCTGTACAGCATTGCACAAAAACGCTGGGACTCAACTATTGAATAAAGGGCAGCTGGGGCTTCCAACCTTGGAACGGGCTTCTTTGGACATCCTATCCGCGTGCGGAGTCATCTCTGTCGTCTCCATCTTGCAAAGGGGACAATCTACGCTCCCATAGTTAAGCAGATAACCCGAGCCTTGTCGCCAATGCCTCAGAATAATGAAGACTCTCATCTGCCGAACGAACCCAGCTGCGCCATAACCTGTCATACGGAGTTATCCAGAGCCATGATGAGAATTGCTGCGGACCTGTTGACTACCCCACTAAACCCACCGCGCAGATGTGGCGACGGATAACAGTCAGTTTTCCGCAAGGACGCCACAAAGCTCCAGACCCCGAGTCCTGACCTCTGCACTCCACCACGTCCATGGGCAGTAAGCGGCGTGCGGTGACCCAGACCAGTCGGCGGAGCGCCCCGCCGTGCGCACCAGCCCCAGACGGTGCCGCCAGCACGCACCGCGCCCTGCGCCGTCGCTGCTTCACACGTACCGAGCCATTTGACGTTCCTGGCGCCCACCACGCCCGGCACGATGGCGCGCACGGGGAAGCCGTGGTCGCGGCTCAGGGGCTGTCCGTTCATCTCGTAGGCCAGGATGATGTCGCGGCGGGGGTCGGTGGCCACCTCCAGCGGCACCGACGCCCCGTACGGGCGTGTTGGACGGGTCCGTGTCGAGACCCTCGAACTGGAGGAGCGGCGCGCCGGTCACGGCCGGGCGCGGCGCCACCCACAGCACGACACGGACAGACGCAGTGATGCTCAGCCACACTCGAACACAGGCAAAGGACAGTGCTGAGGTCAGTACACTGATTTGTGTGGGCTGTGTGCTCGACAGCGTGCTGGTTGAACAGAAAACTGTCTGGCATACTGGTAAACTGGCAAAACCGGGAAACTGGTAAACCGTCTGGTGAAACTGGTATACTGGTACATCGACAGCGACAGCAAGCAAAGGACGCCACTGAAAGTGGTCATGGCATGACAATTCGACACAGGCAATGCATTTGGAGTCATTCATCAACAGAGCATGATCGCATGGCACGGTGAAAGGAAATAAGAAATCAGCAGCCCGACCGAGCCACACGGCCCCTGCTTGTAACACCACAGGACATCAGCCGTCCGACAAACTCGACGGGAATTGGAAAGCGACCGGGAAGCAGATCAGCGGCTGTTACCTCCCTAGCTCACACCGCACCATCGAAGAACTCCACTTCACACCTCACCCCCTTCCCGCGGCACACCCACGCCAGTCCAGCATCATCCCCCACATGGCCACGCGAGCCGTCAGTTCCGGCCGCCCACTCACGCAGACGTGCCGGCCGGGGGCGGCGGCAATCCCCCTCGAGGCCGGCGGCGCGCAGCACGTCCGACAGGCGGGCACCGGTCCAGGTGGGCGTTGCCGACGGCGGCGTGGCCCACGAGAGACCGCGCACCGCCTTACGGCCGACATCTCGCTGCGGCGGTTACCTGCCGGCGCCGCCAGGACGACGGGTCACATGACGGGGCCCAGTGACACGGTCACCGGCCGGCAGCGGCCCGCCGGAGCCGCGCACTAGAGGCAAACAACTACCGGATCCATCTACTGCCGCTCCCTGTGCGGGCATTACCGTGTAAGCACACGTGACGGTGTCCAGTGACAGACACTGACCGGCGCACTGACAGTGTTCAGTGACGGAGACACTGACCGGCACACATGACAGTGTTCAGTGACGGAGACACTGACCGGCACACATGACAGTGTTCAGTGACGGAGACACTGACCGGCACACTGACAGTGTTCAGTGACGGAGACACTGACCGGCACACTGACAGTGTTCAGTGACGGAGACACTGACCGGCGTACATGACAGTGTTCAGTGACGGAGACACTGACCGGCGCACATGACAGTGTTCAGTGACGGAGACACTGACCGGCGCACATGACAGTGTTCAGTGACGGAGACACTGACCGGCACACATGACAGTGTCAGTGACAGACACTGACCGGCGCACTGACAGTGTTCAGTGACGGAGACACTGACCGGCGCACATGATGGTGGCGGTGACAGTGACGGGCTCGAAGTTCTTCTTCAGCTGGTCCAGGCTCAGCGAGAGGCCACGCACGCCTAGGCCGTCCACCTCCAGCTCATACGTCGCCG